ATCACACCTCTGCCAATCAACTTATCGACTCTCTCTCCAATAGAGCGATAAATCCTCAAAGTTGCTTCGATCGTAACAAATTATCATCACGTTAATATTACACCTCTGATAACGTCATGTTAACATTATACCTCTGACAATCAACTTATCAACTCTCTTCAATAGAGGGATAGGTCCATAATCTTGTCACGTTAACATTATATCTCTAAAAATTAACTTATCGACTCTCTCTAATGGAGCGATAGGTCCACAATCTTGTCACGTTAACAAAACACCTCTAACAATCAACGTATCGACTCTCTTCAATATAGCGATAGGTCCACAAACCCGTCAAGTTAACATCAAACCTATGGTGACCAAATCAACTTATCAACTCTTTTCAATAGAGCGATAGTCATATAAAATATTGTTAGGTTAATATCATACCTATAACAGTCAAACTCCCTAATGAACTTGTTAATCATTTTTTAACAAGAATAGTAAGTTTTTATTATAAAATTCCCAGCGGATTAAAGATTTTCTAGAATTATCCCAGTGATAATGAAGAAAATTTCTGAATTTCACTCTAAGTAAAAATTCATGCCAAGTTAATACTATACCTCTGGTACTTCAACTTTCTTTCAGTGCTTCAAGTGAAAACATAACATAAGAAGAAATAGCAGTAAATCCTATGTATTCAATATCATAGCCAATAATTATTATTAAATTAATAATCACTAAATCCATGTCTTTTATACATGGGGCACTTTATCTCGATCCCTAATTATAGATAAGTCTACGCCTAACAAGCGTCGTCGGTTAGTCTTTTCCCGTAAAAATGACAAAAGCATAAGTATTTAATATTATAGCAGATTGTTATTAATAATACCAGAATTCATGCCTTATACGCATGAGGGACTTTATCTTGATTCCTAATTAGAGATAAGTCTGCATCTAATACATGCTATCAGATGACCTATTCTCGCAATAATGGCGAAGTCTACGTATTAATATCGTATCACCAAAAATCTATGTCTTTCACACATGGGGGACTTTATCTCGATCCCTAATTAGAGATAAGCCTACGTATAACACGCGTTACTGGGTAGTCCATTCCTGTAAAATTGATAAAGTCTATGTATTCGGTATCATAGCACTAAGTCTAAAAGAGTTCATTATTTTAGTACAACGTTACATGTGGAAGGGATTTAGACAATTCACATGCTAGTCCAGCTCAAACGGTAGCTGGTAAAAGCTTATAAAATTTGTTGATAGCTGAGGGTTTGCCAAAAATCCTATGAATATTTGCAGGCCCATCAACTAAATGGATGTAAGCCGTGACGTGACGTTTAAGAGCTTCTGTTCACGAGTAGCTTGTACCGTCACTACAGTTTCTCGTCGAAGCTCATCCTCATATGGGTCCTGCATGGCAAATCACTTCAACCAAGATGCCTTTGAAGTGGGTGCAGGGAACAACTCTGTTATGATAAAGAATCAACAACTCCAAGATCAGAGTTGAGATCCAAAGTATTTCAAAAATTCATTCCATTCAACCGTAAACTTTCAAAAACTTTGGAGGGAGTTCTGTAGGCTGTCTAAAAATCATTGTAGATAGATGATCCCTATTAAATACTAATGGTGGAAGTTACAACCTGATGACTTTCACATCAATAGGCGAAGGCGGATGGTTGGATGCCCAAGCAAAGAGAAATAAACCAAAACTAAACTCAATATAGTTCTAGCTTAATAACAATGATAATCAATCTATATATAAAAGAGCTAGAAATAGAGTTTAGAAAACTTCTCAATAGATCAAGAGATTGAAGGAGGATGGTTGGATGCCCAAGAACCAATAGGATCTCCTCAAGCTCTTGTGAAATTGATTTCACAAACCCAAAACTCTTAATTACTTAAAAGCTTCTTAAACACTCTTAAACCAAACTAAAACCCTTGTTAAAACACTTTCAAACTTCTTTAAAAACACTCTCTTGGTTGTTGCTGAAAGATGAGAGCAAGGGGATATTTATACCCTCTCAAAACATCAGCCAAAAACCCAGAACAAAAGACCAAAAAGCCCAAGAATCAGAAATCTAATTCTGTACCAAAATGATCATTGGGCAATCGGCGGTCGACCGTGAGTTTTTCGCGGTCGATCAAAACTGAGAAAACGATCAAAAAAGGTTCCGGTCGACCGCGACGGTCGACCGCAGGAGTTCCCGAGCAGACGGTCGCCCGCCACAGTCAACCGTGAAAGTTTCTGCTAGCTCCTGAGGGAAAAACACAGGCGCGGTCGACCGTGGCGGTTGACCACAAACAGATATATGAAATAACAGGTTTAGAAGCAGTTTGATGATTTTGAAACCATGTTTAAAAAATCAAATAAATTTAGGAAAATATAAAACTTTGGGAAATGATTGTAGACATGATAATACACATGCTTTGAAAAATATCATCATTTTACAAAATAGTTCAAAACATGAAAATGTGAACATATGAGTTTTGACATTTTAGCTTAACCATATTTTGGAACAATACAAAATAATTTTATAGACTTGAAGAAAGATGTGAACTATTGTTATGAAATCTATAAACAATAAATGTAGTATTTTATTAAAATACACACATAATGCACTAAAACATGATTTTATTGAACTATATAAAAATTGGTATTGATGAAATCATATATATGCATATAAGTATGAAACAAGAAATGTATTTTCAATTGTATTCAATTGTTTCATATTAAAAATATATATATAGAGAGAGAGAGAGAGAGAGAGAGAGAGAGAGAGAGAGAAGTTTTCGGCTGCGAAATTTTTTCGCACTGTTCCTGTGCGAAAATGAGTTCTGGCCTTTGGATTTCCGTCAGCACCAATAGCCGTTGGATCTGCTTCCCCAATTCCCAAGAGACATAAAAGAACCTGTCTCACCCAAAAAAAAAGAACCCACCCCTCCGACCCCAGAGCTAGGTCCCTCTCTTCCCGTCATCGAGCTCCGCCGACGCCTTATCGTCGTTGAGCCCAGAACCCAAACCCTCTCCCTTCCGATGAACCCTGGTCCCTCTCTTCTCGCCGTCGCCTTCTCGTCGTCGATAGCCAGGTCCCGCTTTGTCGCCGTCGAGCTCCTCCTCCGCCTTCAACCTCCTCCTCCGCGATCTGGCCTTCAACCTAAGTTGGACCTCTTTTAATTTTCAGGTGCGTTTTTTGATTTCTTGCTTGATTTAGGGCTTTTTGATGTGGGTTGTTGATGTTAGATGCGATTATTTTCTAGGTTGTTGTTTGTGAAAGTGAGTAGATTTGGGGAAACTTCAACCCTAACTTTTTAATTTTAATTTATTTTACTCATTTTTAATTTTGATTTATAGCTTGGCTTGACACTGTATTTAGATTTAAGCTTCAAAGATGCCTTTTTAATTTTAATTTGTTTGTTGTTTTTTGAACTCTTCTTTACGTGGAGCTCTCTTCGTAATTGCAGGTTTGAAGACTGTTGTTTGGACAGAGCTACAAAACCGGGTTCCATCTTTGTTAGAAACATATTTCATCTTGTTTGAATCAGGTAGAAATCGAGTCTGCTTCGATTTTACTCATTTTTAATTTTGACTGTCAACTATAACAACATATTTCTTCTTGTTATGGAGACACTCAGTGCCTTCTTACATAGCACAGTTTGCGTTGCTGACCGATGAGGAGGATTAAATAGCACAGTGGTTAAATTTCTGCTCAAATTTCTGATTCATTTGTATATAGAGTGACATTGGTTATTGGTACATGGTGAATAAGGAGAGGAAAATGAAAATAAAACCACAAAAAAGTCCTTAATTAAGGGTCATTTTAGCATGTTCCTGATGTTATGTTACTAGCGCCATGTTGATATTATTGTGAATAATCGTTGTTTTGTGCATGTATCAGCTTCTCAGTTATAGTTGAGATTGTTAGCTTTCTCCAGTTTGTGCATGTATCAGTTTCCTTGTTGTTAGTCAAACCGAAATGTCTCTCTAATCTGGATGAATGCGGACCTGGCTATAACTTCATATGGATGCACATATTCTAATTTCCTCTTTAATCTCATTGCTCCTCATCCACTTCCACATTCACTTTTCAAGTTATCTCTCTTTCTTTTCTTTTCTTTTCTTTTTATCTTGGCACATATCATAATTCATAATTGTTCATCATTCTGCTTGTTCAGACGAAGCAGTCGAGCATGACGCCACAAGTTTCAAGAGCCGGGTCAACTGAAGAAGTGCGGGAAAAGAGAAAGCTTTTTCTTGATATTATGGATTTGTTGAAGCTTGTTGTATTTGCTCTTTTATTTGGTATTTTTTTGGATTTGTATTTGGTATTTTTATTGGATTTGTGCTAAGTAGGGTGTAAGAATGTATTATTGGATTTGTTGAAGTGTATGTTCTCTGCATGTGTTCTAAATGCAACCCAGGTTTATGTTGAAGTGTATGTTCTCTGTTCTCTGCATGTGTACTAAATGCAACCCAGGTTTATGTTGAAGTGTTATGTTCTCTGCATGCGGATGAGTACTATATTACTCTGTCAGTGCACATAAATCTGTACCGAATTTCGTTTATAAAACTTGAGTATCTAGGAAACTTAGGTGCTCTTTTCTTCAAGGAAATAGGTCACCTCATGACCACAAAGATTTCAACAGAAACAACATTTTGAGCGCATTAGTTTATCAACTACCATCCAACAACTACAGCCATGATTCATAAATTAATAAAGCTCGACATCCAGAAATAGACCACAAAGATTTCAACAGAAACAACATTTTGAGCACAAAGATTTCCAGCAACAATAGTACATTTCAACAACAAGACCAAGAATAATTTTCAGCAACAATAATTTCCAGCAAAGATTTCCAGCAATATGAAATTCCAGCAACAATAATTTTGGCACCTGCAAATGAAATTCCAACATTTCAACAGAGATTTCCAAAATTCCAACATTCCAACATTCCAAAATTTCCAACATTTCAACAAAGATTTCCAGCAACAATAATTTTGTCACCTGCAAATGAAATTCCAAGAACAATAGTACATTTCAAGTCTAAATTTCCAAGTAGCTTCTATTACAGAATAAACTCAAAACCATATATGTTTCTTAGGAGGCACACCAAACAACTCAAAACAAAAGTACATTTCAAGTCTAAATTTCCAGGTAGCTTCCCATTTCTGCACAGAAACTTGGCGATTAGGGTGGGGGGGGATATAAAGGAAATGAAGCTTATATTTCTCACCAATAGTGATATGATTTGCTCCGCCAACCTTGATCAAACTTCAAACAATAGTTAGAACTTCATCTGTATTAAAAAAATTAAAAAATCACGTTATATTAAAAAAAGGGCAATGTACAAGTTATTCAGTATGTATTAATCATTACCTTCCTCAAAGGAATCTTCTAAATCATCATTGGCTTCATCAATATTATCTTGTTCCATTGAATCACTAAAAAAATTTATGATAGCAAGACATATTAAAGATCATTGCACCAACTTAAGAAAATGTTTAAAAAAATAATAGCATTAGTATTACTAAAACAAATGATACACTACCTTGACAACTTTAGAGGGCAATTTCTTGTATCATGATTTTGTCCTCGCATTCCACACAAATTGCATTTCCTAGGCCGGCATTTGCGGATCTCCCTCGATGGCTTTAACCTCTTCCCTTTAGGCCTTCCTTTTGTTCTTGCTTGACTTGGTTCATGAACTATATCTTCAGAACACTCCGCATTCATATAATGTCCTTCCACATCTTGTCCAATTTCTTCATCATTGACGAGTTTCAAACGTTGCACCTTATTAATAGCATCCATCATCATTTCACGCATTAATTCATATACATCATTAGAAGATAGCCCCTCTTCGACCATTTCATTAGCTAAGCAATTTAGTTCACTAAAACGAGAAGCAAAATTAATTGTGGCATTATCTCCAATAATATTACCATCTCTAAGAACAACTCTTTTTCTAACATTTCGGCACCATCTTCTTAGAATATATTGCTCCGGTAACTCACTATGATTGGTAATTTTAAGATATACCAAGATATGTCGGCACGGAATGCCCTTGAATTCAAACATGAGACACGAACAACAGACCATTTTAGTTGTTTTGCAGTATATAATATATCTCAATCTTTCATCATCACCACAAAAATTCAATTGGAAAGTACTTTCTCTTTCATTTTCTTTTACAAGCTCAATGTTATACATTAAGCTAGGTTGAAGCTCGTCTTGAAAAATATAAAAGATTTTTTTCGTGTAGATTTGGGCCATTTGTTTTTTCATTGACCACAAAGTCTTCAATTTTGGTTTTTTCTCCACTGTGCAATGATCTTCTTTAAGCTCCCCCTCTCTTTGTCTCCCCAAGACCCTCTGAAAGATGATCACAAAATCATGAAGTGAATTTTTCCTTGATACATGCATTTTTAGCAATACATTCATCCCTTCACTTCTTTGACTGCTAGACATTCCAGCCCAAAAGTATTGTTTATGATAAACCGGAGCCCATTTTTCACGAATTGCATAAATATCCTTTAGCCAATCATGCGTTTCCAATCCATTTTTCTTAAGAATTGAAACCCAATTCTCTTCAAAAGAGCTAGCAGTCTCGGAGTCCCAAATAATTTCTTTGAAAGATTTCATAAATTCTGTACTATAAGCCCATTTACCCAACTTCTCCGGGACTTTGTCCAAGATATGCCAAATGCAAAACCTGTGCCGAATTTCTGGAAAAACTATTTCAATTGCCTTGCATATACCAAGACATTGATCTGTAATCATGCCCGAAGGAGGATGACCCATTGCTTCAATCCATTTGTTAAACAACCATACAAAAGAATTCGCTTCTTCGTTTGGGATCAAGCCACATCCTAAAAAAACACTTTGCCAATGGTGATTTATGCCTACAAACGGCACAAATACCAAGCCATATTGATTTGTGTTATGCGTGGCATCGAAGGAGACAACATCGCCAAAGTATTGATAATTCATTCTAGCAATACCATCCAGCCAAAAACAATGAGTTAAGCGTTTCTCTTCATCAACTTCATAAACATAATAAAATGAAGGATTCTTCTCTTGTTCCGATTTGAAATGATCCAACATCATTTGTGCATCATGACCGCGCCTCTCCTCTCTCAAATCTCTTTCATAATTTCTCACATCGGTCTCAATGCATCCAATTCTATGAAAACCTCCGCTAGAGTTTTCCAAGAAGGCCATTTGCTTGTTTGTTGGAATGTTCACCTCTCCAAACTGCTTTATCAATGTCTTCTTCGCACTTGTTACCTCACGGTTTCCCCTTAGAAAATGTGTTCTACTCGGTGAAATAAATGTATGATTATGTTCTTCCACGAACTTGTAGACACTCCATATGCCCATTTTTTTGTCTAATTTCAAGCGAATCAAGGCCTTACAATTTGTTCTAATTGTACCACATCGTCGAAAATCCAACGATTTGCTCTTTAACACTCCTTCTTTCGAACAAACATAACTTTTGCAAATTAACTCTCTATCCTTCCCATAATTTGTTGTGCTATTACGGATATCAAAACCTCCGGTCTTTCCGTAATTTCTGTAGAATTTTTTAGCGTCTTCTAAATTGTCGAAAGTCATTCCTATTTTTGGTTTTAAGTGCTCATTAACAATTGGCACAACTAAGTTATCTAACTGGGAGAATTGTTCATCAACAACATGGGAGCAACTATCTTCAGTTTCCATTGGATCAAACATCAAGCACAAATCATCAAAGAATAATTTTTACCTACAAGAACAAACATCAAGAACAAACATCAAGCACAAACCATCAAAGACAACCATGCACAAAAATAAACAAATGAATCCATAGATTATATATAAATCATCTTAAGAGGACAGTCAAAAAAATCACAAGAACAAACATGCTTATATATATATTTGCAGCTAACGGTAATAATGCTAAACAGTAAACACTATGATGCGCATTTGAATGTGTATACTAGTGTAGCTTAACGCATTTGAATGTGTATAAATCAACAAATATAAACCAAAGAGATCAAAACAATCCATGCAAGCACGGACATAGTACTTGTCGGACATAAAGTAAAACAACAACCATAACTTTTTTGTTTTGCATTGGTTTGATATAAGTAACTAGCATACCCTCTCAATCGGGAGAGAAATGAGCCAAAAATCTTCCTGAAGCCCGTTTCCTGAAATGTAAAAATTCTCGTCTTCACTAGCGCGTTTTAGTAGCAGAGAGAAAAATGAGTCTTTAGTTTCAACTTTTTTATCTAATTTAATTTCCATCCAACCAAATAATTAAAAGCAAAAACCTCCAAAGTTATTGGTTTTGTAGAATTCTGATAGCTACAATGGTCTCGGATTTGATTTTGGACTGAGTGGTCCAAAATTTAAAATTCTGATAGCTACAATGGTCTCGGATTTGATTTTGGACTGAGTGGTCCAAAATTTAAAATTAAAAAAAACTTTCTAAGGAAACAGCTCCTTAATGTATATATTGCCTGATTAGAATTTAATTAACTGAAAAATAATTGAATGACGAAGTTAATTAACTGATTCGAATTGAAGTCACCAAAACATTAAAAACGCACCTGAAAATTGAAAGAGGTCCAACCTAGGTTGAAGGCCAGATCGCGGAGGAGGAGGTTGAAGGCGGAGGAGGAGCTCGACGGCGACAAAGCGGGACCTGGCTATCGACGGTGAGAAGGCGATGGCGAGAAGAGAGGGACCAGGATCTAGGGAGGGAGAGGGTTTGGGTTCTGCGGAGCTCGACGGCGAGAAGAGAGGGACCAGGGTTCGTCGGAAGGGAGAGGGTTTGGGTTCTGGGCTCAACGGCGATAAGGCGTCGGCGGAGCTCGATGACGGGAAGAGTAAAAACTTTGTTTGTGGATAAACCAAAATCCAAAATGTGTACATATATATATATATAACTATATATATATATATACATGGAAACCAATAAATGTGTGTGTGTATATTATATTGAGCTTAAGGTACTAACACACATAATATAAACTCCTAAACTAAATTACCCAAGCTTGATCTTGATCTTCAATAGCTCGACTTGGTAATCTTGCGGATGAAGCTTGAACTTGGATCTTCAACTTGAATTGTACATAGCTTCACCTACTATTCCGCCAACCTCCATTGGATATGATCGTTAAGGCTCGATTCCATCCATCCTCCAACAACGTTGCTTGTCTATAATACATAAGAAAATATAAACACTAGACAAACAACATTAGGTGTAAATTGTTTGTAAATCATCATCAAATAAGAAGGCCAACAATCTCCCCCTTTTGATGATGATAAACAATTTACAAAAAGGATATATGCATGAAAGGAAGTTAATATGTAAATTAGAATTATCATGCATATAACCAAAACAAGATATACTCATAATATTTCTCCACCTTTGACAACATCAAAAAGGGAAAAAACACCAAGAATGGGAGAGCGAAAGCTCCCCCTACATATGAGCATGGGTGAGTATAAAACAAGTATAGGGATTGCTCCCCTTATCGAAATACCTTATAGAATATATGTAATAAAAGATCATGGCAAATATGTGAGCAAGCATAAAAAATATGCTAAATATCACTCACATACAAGAGGATAATGAGAACATATATAAATATATCAATATAAAAAAGTGTTTCAAATGTACAAACATAAAAACAAGGTATAAAATAGATTTATGAAATCACAAGAAAGAAGACATGAGAATCGTGTAAAAAGTTTCCAAATGAAAACAAATCAACCAATGAAATCATAAATCATAAGTAAATCATATAAGAACATAAAACCAAATCATCATTGATTTTTAAAAATCAAGAGGGGCAATTATATTTAGCTCTTGAGCTAGTATCAACCCATATAAATATTTTAGCATCAGGTAAACAAGATTTGGGAATAAACACTCAATAAACCCGGAGGGTATATAACTACAAACCTCTCATTTAAAATCGAAACTAATAGTCATGAAAATAAAATAATTAATCAAAGAAAAATTGTTTTCATATTCAAAGATTTCAAAGCATAATTTTCAAAACCAAGACAAAGAAAAATAAAAATCACTAAAGTTCTTAGTTTAAGAATCATATTTGTTTTTGGTACCCAGGTAATCTTGGTACCAAAAGGTTTAGGGATATGACCCCTATCTTTTAAGCTCAAAGTCCTAGGGTTATGAACCCTCTTGGGCGCATTTAGTGCACGGACACGGTTATAACAAAAATTACCCAAATGACCCTTCTGATTGCAATAAGTACAATTGAAAGGAGACATTTGCTTATGTTGGCCAAACAGTTGTGCACGGGACTCATTTGCAAATAAAGATTTTTCTTTTAAATTATTTCACAAATAAAAAACATCATTAAACAAAGATGGTTTGCTTGAGAAATTTGGCAAGTTTGAATATTTTTTTAAATCATAACAAAACTTCGCCAAATGGCCAAATCTACCACAAATATCACATTTAAACACATGTGGTCTACTAGAAACATTTGGCAAACGTGATTTTCTTTTCAAATCAAAATAATATTCGGCCAAATGACCAACACGACCACAATGATCACATCTATACACATGAGCATGCTTGTAATGAACAATGGGTGTATGTGTGTGTACATGTGATGAAGAAACTTGATGAGATGCACAAGGAGCATTAGAATTCTTATGTTTGTGTGCATCGTAGCAAAATTTAGCAATATGGCCTTTTCGGCCGTAAATTGAACACTTGTAAACTTTGTTATATATGTGTGCATAATGAGTGGATGATTTTGCATTAGACTTGGCACACATATCCACAAGCTTCTTATAATTGTTAATGCATGTACTAAGAGTTGAATCTAAACATGAAATGTGTTTATTCACAAGATTCAAATTATCATTAGGAACATATATATTTTTATTAGAAGTAGAACATAAATAGTCATTTATAAAAGAAGCAGTATTATTTTTTATGTTCTCTACTTCTAACATGGCATTATTTTTAACATGAGATAAGCTAGTGATGGATGAGGTTAATTTTTTATTTTCCAAAATTAACATATCATTGTTTTCTTTAAGCACAATATTTTCTTTTGCAATGACATCGAATTTGAAACCTAGCAACTCATGATCGGATTTTAAATTAACATGCTTGCTTTTCAAATCTATAAAATTATTATGCAACTTAGTGTAGGCGTGCATTAATCTATCATATGCACAAGCGAGTTCATTGATGGATATATCACTATCAGATTCCGAATCATTTACCACACTAGGGTTATCCCCTAGTGGACATGTGCATGATGCTCCACTATTACTTGAAGTCGATTCCGCCACAACGCATCGAATCTCCTCCAAATCTCCTTGATGTGCTTCAAAATGTTTCCAAATCGTGTAAGCACTATCAAAATGAGCAAGTTCATTAGAAATACATGGTTCAAAAGCATTATGCAAGAGTTCCAACATTAACTTGTTCATTATAAACATTTTCTTATCATGATTGCTCCACTTAGATTTTTCCAATGTGGGCATAATGTAAGCACAATCAATAACTTCCCATAAGTCGATATTTCTAGATTCAACAAAATTTTAAATTTAGAGCACCATTGAGCATAAGGGAAATTTCTATATTTTGGAGCAATATTTGGATTATAGCCTAAACGAAATACATTCATATTCATGATATATATGTGAATATATGCAAGCAAGACATATGCAATCATAACTAGATTAGCACAAATAAGATAACTTGGATCTTTAACTCAAGACGATTAGTCCTTAAATCAAAGAGCACCAAGCTCTGATACAAATTGTTAGATCCTAGAGGGGGAGTGATTAGGATCTTATGCTAATCTAATCCGATTTTATGCCAATTAAAACTAATACAAATATATTCTTGCAAGATAGATATACAAGAGATATAAGCAAGAATAAGCAATATGAATAAAGAGATATATCCTAGCAAAGAGGTAATATATGCAATGATATATAAACTAACACAAGGGTGAAGTAAACATAAACAAGATAAGAGTGATAGTGTGCAAATAAATAATGCAAACACACAATATGATCACAGAGTTCAGACCTTTCGTCATACGTCTCCGCTCCCCACTCCCGGGGAGAAATCCACTATCACAACCGGGTTTTCTACGCTTACCCGAACAATGTTTACACCTCACACTCGGTTTTCTAGCTAACCAAAAACTTTATAATCACCACTCTTGCAATCCCACTCTGCACCCTCTCAAGTGTTGGACCTAGACGTATCTTCCTCAAGTGCTCAGATACAACCTCTCCCTAGGTTCATCAACCGAAGCCACTCCTCTTGGGACGATCCCCGACTTACACCACACACTTCTCTCGGTGTAAAAGTATATTACAAAGTGAATCTCACAATTAGGTTCAATACAAAGTGTTTGTTCTCTATAATGGATGAGAACGAATTGTAAGCTCACTCTCTAGGTAACACAATCCCACAACCCAATTAAACTATGAATGTAAATACAATAAGCTCAATGGTTGTGTGTGTGTGTGTAAGCAAAGAGAAATAAATCAAAACTAAACTCAATATAGTTCTAGCTTAATAACAATGATAATCAATATATATATAAAAGAGCTAGAAATGGAGTTTAGAAAACTTCTCAATAGATCAAGAGATTGAAGGAGGATGGTTGGATGCTCAAGCACCAATAGGATCTCCTCAAGCTCTTGTGAAATTGATTTTACAAACC